CAAAATGGGCAAAAAATGTTGTCATTTCATGAAAATAAGTCTGAGAAATTTGACTAACTGCATCTTTGGAACTAGGAGGCAAATACAAATTCCGAAACTTAGATCCTGATTTCGAAGATTGTTATTCATGTAAAGTATTAGTGTAAAAACAAACATAAATGTATAATGAATGAACAGCGAGAAATGGCCAATCCCATAAAAAAAAATATGTTAATTGTTTGTATATTCGTTGCAAATACTACTTATACACATTAACATATATTAACACAGATTTAAATATTACCGTAGTTCAATGACCATACTCTTTTTAAAAAATTGCCAGTCTTAAGGAATTGACCTTTACATGTAGATCTGAACATGTTTGAATGGCTCATCAGACAACAGTGTAAAACAGTTTTCAATATTAGACCTCATCATTTTTACCAGTTAATTACAATTTAATCATGTATTTATAGATTTGGGCATTACTACAATTTTCACAAAAAGTAGTTGTAAAAAAACTACATGTAATTGTTTAGTACTTATTACCTGCGTTTTTTTACCTATATTTTCAACAGATTTTCACTGACTCTGTACATGAATATGATAAACATGAGAAAGTACATGTAGGCTTGATTCTAAAAATAGAAAATGACATCATAATGACCTGATATGATATTCTAAAGACTACATACATTTGTACTCTTTTAGACTAGCTTTCATTACATTATTTTTTTTACCATGAATACCATATGCAGTAGAAACTGTGTGCAGCTAGTCTCCTGAGAAATTTCAGAGGAATTAAAAATGTATTATATGTAACTTGATCATTTGAGGAACAACAGTTGTAGGTATCTTTCAGAAGTAATTTCAATTATGTGGCTTGCTGATTAAATAAGAGAAGCTAAGCTTAGTCATAGTAAAGTTAACAGAGTTCCAAACAAACAAATTTGTATTATAAGTTTTCATGTCCTTGGATCTTTGATTTAATATGAAAAACATGTATTTTGCATATTTACCATCACTGAATTGAAATATTTTAATAACTGGTTCAGGGGACAATAAATAACAGAAGCTAAATTTTTTTTTTTTTTAATGCAAAATTTATGATTAAGGAGCTCAACATTTCTGTAGAGAGTAGTGCTAAAGGTACATTTGTATGTCTGTAATGTGTTGATAGTGGTAGTGGTAGGAAAGAACACATTTGATAAAGAGTAAAATTAGTAATTTGTAATTATTGCCTTGGTTTTTGAATGTTTAGTATTGTTCCATTAAAACCAAATCTACAATTTTATCTCACTAGTTATTGCTGGCATTTGAAAAGCAAGGTTAGGCTAGATAACAGTTACTTTTTATTGTCAGAATAACATGTATTTTTGTCTTCTGGCAAGCAAAAAAAGAGTAAAATTGTTCTAAAGTC